CCCATGGGGGATACAGTAAAAGTGCAATAAATGGGTCAAATTGGTGTCGGAGGAAAGGGAGAGGAGCTCCCACGGGATTGCTTGGGCAGGGGTGAGAAGCGGGAGCAGCGCTGGCCCTGCGGGGTGTCATGGGGGGTTCCCTCAAAACCTGCTTTACAAAAATAAAGAATAAACCCCCTTCTTCAGTGAATGTTGGGTTTGGGGTTTTGTCTGTTTTGTGCTGCCTCGCTTCCCGGTTCGTTTTCCTGCCTTCCCCCCACCCCGGTTTACTTACAAAGCCGAGTTTTATTCAAAATAAACTGTCGAGATGGTTCCGTGGGCAGAGCTCTTAAATGTCCGTCGATTTCTGTGCTTGCTGCTGCATAAAGGTAATTAACTGCAGAAGGTGGATTTAGATGAGATATTGGATGTGATTCTGTGCTGTGAGGGTGGTGAGAGCCTGGCCCAGGGTGCCCAGGGAAGCTGTGGCTGCCCCATCCCTGGCAGTGTTGAAGGGCAGGTTGGATGGGGCTTGGAGCAGCCTGGGCTGGTGGGAGGTGTCCCTGCCCATGCAGGGGGGTTGGATTAGATGATCTTTAAGGTCCCTTCCCACCCAAAACCCTATGAAGAAGCACTCTCCAGTGTGAAGCACTTCTCCACAGGGAAGAGAAGGGCTCGTGGCTTTACTCACCGTCTGCAGTTGCAGGTGCTCCAAGCTGTGCTTCTGGGCAAGTCCTTGTTGCCCCAGGGCAAAGAAGCAATACAAAGGTAGCTGGTGTTTGGTGCTGAGCCCTGCTGAGCCTGGGGGTTCTGCTGACACATAGATCCCTGTCCCCAGGAGGAATGTGGGGTGCACACACAAAGGCTCAGCCAGAGCTCTGATTCCAGAGCCCAGTTCCTGCACACACTCTCTCTTTGCAGAATCCTGCATGACATGAGTGAATGGCTGGACTTGTCCTTTTAACGGGTGGACTTCAAGATCTGAAGGTCTTTTCCAACCCAAACCATTCCATGGTTCAAATTGCCATCCTCTTCTGTCCAGCCTCACCTGGAACATGACACGTTTGTCCCCCTCTGGCCTGAAGTGGATCTGTAGGAAGGATCATCTTAGCTCCTTATTTCTGATACTTTATTTGCCTTTTCCGTCATCAGAGGCTTCAGCCATCATGCCTTACCTACCAAATCCACAGCTCCTCATGTATTATCATGTTTCTGAGTCCAGCAGAGCCTTCCACAGGTGCTGTGCTGAACAACCTCACTGACTCTGCCTCCAAGGTCACCCCTGGCTCCTGTCCTCCCTGTCCTGCCTTCTCACACATCTGGGCAGCCTTGAGAAGGGGAAGGGAGAAAGCTTTGGAGCTTCTAGGGTTGTTTTCAGGTAGCTTTTTTGTCCTTTTTTTTCCCCCCAATATTGTGTTTTCATTTAGATCAGGAGCTCTTTGAGGCAAAAAAACACCCCAAACACTTCCTTGCATATGTGGGAAGGGCTGTGGATGTTAATGCAGCTCTCATGGTATCACTCTGGTGGGAAAAGACCCTCAAGACCATTAAGTCCAACCACTCTCCTAGCTCTGCCATGTCCACCACTAAGCCCTGTCCCCTGGCACCACATCTGTCTTCTTAGATGTCTCCAGGAGTGGTGGCTCAACCACCTCCTGGGATGGCCTGGAATTCAGCTGTCTCAATGCTGAATTCAAACTGTCAGGGGAGAGAGAGCTGCTCAAACCTGAACAAATCACCTTTAAAGCCAATATTAAAGACCTGTGTTGCTGTTTGCTTCTGCAGCAGAGGGCAAATGCACACGGGCTGGGTTGGAATGCTCAGATTAAGACTGTTCTTTCATTTTTTGTAACCTTTTTTTCCCATTTCTCTGCTGTCTGTTCAAGGCGGTGACGCTGGTTAAGGAAAGGGAACTTCAATCTCTTGCCCTCAAAAAGAAAAAGCTGGGTGTTCAGATCCCTCAGCCAACATGCACGTGGCCTTTAAACCAGCTATAAATCAGCCATTTCTGGACAATTACCTTTTTTTTGCTGGGTTATTATCATAAACCAGTTCTAAAGCTTTTCATACATAACTCAATAGCTACAAATCAGAGCAAGGAATTGGTTTTGTTGCTCACAGTGATAATATTCTGCCCTACAAGATTCTTATTGCATTTAATAGAATTTCTGCTTTATTTCATTAGGATCAAGAGAAACTTCTGTTCAGTTTTTAACCATGTCTTAACTATCATCTTGCAGTTTTGATTTGTGGATTTATTTCTTTTCATGAGAACATTTGCTCACTGTTACGTGCTACTCAACTGTCTTATTAATTCAATGTTAGCACACTTAATTCTCATTTGCTTTTAGATGAAATATTCATGTCGAATCTCTGAACTTCAGCAAAAAAAAAGGCCAGAGAAATTCAACTTTTAACTCTTTACAGAATTTAATTTGTTTCCCCCAGTGGGAAATCACTCTGGGTTACATTCAGTCTGTGTTGCCTTGTCCTTAGGCAATCCCAATTTGTCTTCTCTCCAGGGTTAGCACTTCAAGATGCTCCAATCCATCCATCCAGTTACCATCCCCTGAAGTTTGTGGCCTGAATTCATAAAGATTCATTTCAATAAAGTTGCTGCCTCTGTTCAGAGGGGACTGCAAAAATCAAACGATCCAATTACAGATTGATGAAATATTAATAATGAAAATCTTCCAGATCTTTCTGATGCCAAACATTCCTCTCCCCTGGTGTCAGGAAAGTAATTAGCAGCTGGCTTTGATTAAATTCTTCCCTCAGAGGGGGTTGTCCTCAGTTGGGTGGGTGAGGGGGGAACGTACATGAGATGATCCCTCATTCCCCAAAGTCTCCCTGGAGAAGCAGGTGCAGGTTCGGTTACCGGGACACGTCGT